TGAGGACGCCCAGGGCTTTGCTAGGGTGCAGGTAACAGCCGCAGTGAAGGTCAGACTAGAAGTCCTCAGGCTTCGCGCTGGCACCGCAGGAAAACGCCCAGTGCCCTGGTAGGGTGCAGCTAACAGCCGCAGGAATGTGGGAATCTGTTCCGCCTGAAACATGCAGGTGATCTGCCCGGGAGCGGCAAGCGGGGGGGTAGCCGAATGCCGTCCACGGCCAGGAGCGGGGTAACTGGCCAGAGGGACTGTCAGCCCAGCCCGTAGGGAGGGCAGACGGCTGGGGGAGATGGCGGTCGAGGCGGGGCCGAGAGGGCATCGACCCAGGGTTGGAAGGTGCAGCCGAGGAGCCGGTGTGGTTGCAAAGGATCGAATGATTCTCTGGTCGGGAGCAGCAAGTAACTGCAAGAAGGTGGGGAAGGTAGCCCTCGCGTGAGACATGTTTGACCCGGGGCGGGCCGATGACCAGCGGGGGTGAAGCTGGCGGCCGCAGAGTGCAAGAAGAAGACCCAACCTTGTGAAACCGGGTTGGGGTGCGGGTGCAGTGAACAGCCGAAAGACGTTGGCTGATGCCGTCGCCTGAGGTTCGCGTTTGCACAGCAGGAGACTGCCCAGTGCCCTGGTAGGGTCCAGCTAACAGCCGCAGGAAGGTGGGAAATGGATGCCTTCGCCTGAGACGTACAAGTGACCTGCATGGTGGCGGCAAACGGGGGGGTAGCCGAATGCCGTCGACGGCCAAGAGCGGAGTGAGGTGGTCACAGACTATTGGCGCAGTCCGAAGAGAGGGCGGACGGCTGGTGGGGAAGTCGGCCGGGGTGGGGCCCGGAGGGCGCTTACCCAGAGGGCGGGAGGAGAGTGCCACCGAGGAGCCTGTGCAAGGTGATATCGTCGCCTGAGACAAAGAGGTCCTCATGCTTCGCGTTTGCACCGCATGAGACTGCCCGGTGCTCTGGTAGGGTGCAGCTAACAGCCGCAGGAATGTGGGAAAAGATGCTTTCGCCTGAGACATGCTGGTGATCTGCCTGGGAACGGCAAACGGAGGGGTAGCCGAATGCCGTCCACGGCCAAGAGCGGGGGGAAGTGACCCAGAGTACGACCTCGTTCAAGCTGCTGCTCCCTGTCGACATGGAGCTCACTGAGGAGGTGGCTGGGACGTCGCATGCTCGAGGCCGTACTGGCCATGACCGTGCTGCTCGAGGAAGCATTGGAGAGCATCTGAGACGTACTGCTAGACAGCGATGCGCTGGAAGTCGAGGTGGTGGACAATGTGGTTGCGCGGCGGGGCACCCTCGCGCTGGCCGTCGTGCTGTTGGAGCAACACGTGCTGGCCTTCGACGATCTCGTCCCGGGCAGCGCGGTGGTGAATGACTCTGTCGAAGCAGTCAGCGTCGAGCCGCTGCACACCGTAATGCTGGCCGGCGTGGTGCTGCTCGACTGTGCCGCACTGCTCGAGGTTGAGCTGCTCGCCACGCCCACGCTCAAGGTGCTGCTCGCTGTTGTCGTGGAGCTCACCGTGTAGGTGGCCGTGGACGACGCCCTGCGCCTGGCCGTACTGGGCCGCACAGACTAGCCGATGAGCCCGTCTCGGCCAGCGTGGTGTGAATGACCTTGTCGTATTTGTCAGCGTCGTGCCGCTGCTCGTCGTCGTGCTAGCCGCCGTGGTGCTGCCCGATATTGCAGCCAAAGTTGCACTGTGAGTCAGGCTGGCGGACGTTGCCGTTGTGCTGCTCGGGCCGCTCGTACTGCGGCCACGAGACTGTGCTGGTCGTGGCCATTTTGCTCGAGGACGCTCTGCTGGTCGTCCGCGACAAACTGCAAGACCACGATGCACGGGACAACCCAGGGGAAGACCTGCCCTATCCGTCAGCGTCGTGCTGCTGCCCCCCATAGTGCTGGCCGACGTGGTGCTGCTCGACTGCGTTGAGCTCGTGAACGTACAACTCGACGTTGCGCAGCACGTCTCGCCCCCCGCTCGCGTTGTGGCGTATGTCAACGTGGAGCCCACCGTGGAGGTGGCCGTGAGTCCAACCAGCCCTCTGGGCACAGGTGGCTTCACGAGCTCTGTCTCCTCTCAGCCACAGCACCCGCCGGCCGCTGCACGGGGGAGAGGCTTACAACTGTCCCATGCTGTTGAACACACAACTTCCCCCAGGCGACAGGCAGCCAACCTGGACCAATCAGCCTCCCCACGACAAACTGGGGACAACCAACAAAATGCCCCCAGCCAACGAAACAGGCGCAGGCGCGGGCGCCCCTCGACCACTTTGCCCACGCTCCCACGGCGGCCCGGTCCACTGCCCTGAACCAAGCATCCCCCCGGGCGAACGGAAGCGTCCTGAAGGGGGGGGGCCGCGGATGGCATAATTTGTTTTACTCACACGAAGTTGCATGCTGGACAGTAGTCACGCACCAAATCTATTGCAGATGCGGCGGCCGCCCGCTTGTGGGACTTGCGGCTGGCGGCTGATTTTTCCGCGAGAACTGCTCGAGCGAGTAAAAGCCCGCCAGGTCAGGGTCGGGCGGGCACCGCCTGGCGACCGCTGATGCTACTCTCACGGCTGGCAGAAGCCGAATCGCGATTTTACCAGGTGGCTAATGATATTGAAAAAAGAAAAATGGAGAAGACAGGAGCCTCCGGCATCCACCAGGCCCACACGGAACGCACGGCTGTCGGCTCATTGAGCCCGCGACACTTTCGGGAGGCCTGGAGGAACGGAAGAATCAGGAGGAAAGGGCACGGAGCTAAGGAGAAGGAGACCAGATGCCGACGCGCAACGCGGGTCGGAGTCGAGGCGCACGCACGACCCTGGGCCTGGCATCTCGTTGATATTGTCAGAAGCCCCACAAGGAGAGAAAGTGAAAAATGAAATCCTCACAGCACTTACTGGGAAATCTGTTGTCTTGCCCTCTGAAGAAACCCTCTGGAAAAACCTCTGGGGAACGGCTGACAGCCACGGGGTGGTAGGAAGAGGTTGCGCCTGAGACCAGCTGATGCTCTGTTGGGGTGCGGCTAACAACCGCGGGATGGTAAGAAACGGTTTCGCCTGAGACCAGTTGAACTAGCCGTAAGTGGGAGATTGTTCCGCCTGAGACATGCTGGTCCTCTGCTAGGGTGCAGCTAACAACCGCAGGAAGGTGGGTAAGGGCAGGGATATTGTTTCGCCTGAGACATGCTGGCCCTCTGGTAGGGTGCAGCTAACAGCCGCAGGATGGTGGGAAATGGCCACGCCTGAGACATGCCGCCGTGCAGCCACTTGGGGAAGCCCAGCGGAGGAGTAACCGGATGCCGCAATAGCCACGAGCAGGGTGGAGTGGCCAGGATGGACCGTAAACAGACGGCTGCAGAGATATGGGGGAAGGCACCGCGATTGCTTCGCCTGAGACATCCTGGTTCTCTGGTAGGGTGCAGCAAAACACCGCAAGGAGGTGGGAAAGGGTAACCTTCGCCTGAGACATGTTACGCCTGGGATGGACCGACGCCTGAGACATGTTACGCCTGGGCTGGTGGGGATACGCGACGCATCAAGAATTTCGAGGCGGATCCAGCTGTGGTGACGAGGGCCGCCAAGGAGGCTCAAAAGGCGAACAACAAGACAAGGGTAATGGGAGCAACCGACAAAACAAATCTGGGGCGGACGATTGAACACATGATTTCGTTGGCCTGGTTGCCCCCGCAATAGGGAAGGCGGGAGCAGGCCGACGGAGGTCGGACAATCCCGGGCTATCTGGGGGGCCGGGGGGGGCCCACGAGGCTGCCAAAAGCTTGCGAACCATACCCTTAAAGCATCAGATGTTTTGACCTCCTCCTCCTCCTCCTTCCCCTCCCCCTCCCCCATCTCTTTCTCCTCCTCCTACTCCTTCTCCTCCTCCTCCGCTTCCTCCTCCTCATGCTCCTCCTCTTCCTCCTGCTCCTCCTCCTGCTCCTCCTCCTCCTCCTTCTCCTCGTCCTCCTCCTCCTTCTCCTCCTCCTTCTCCTCCTCCCCCCCTCCCAATCATCGCGGTCGTCTGCGAGGTCGACTGCACCGGACAGAAGGACAACGACGACGACGACAACGACGACGAGGATGAGGACGAGGACGAGGACGACGGACGACGGACGACGACGACGACGCACTGCGGATGCCCTATGGGGGGGGGGGCTGCGTAGGCCCGCTGTAATCGACGACGACGACAACAACGACGACGATGACGACGAGGACGAGGATGAGGACGAGGATGGGGGCGAGGACGAGGGCGACGGACGACGACGGCGACGACGACGCACTGCGGATGCCCTATGGTGTGTGTTTGTGTGTGTGTGTGTGTGTGTGTGCTGCGTAGGCCCGCTGTAGTCGACGACGACGACGACGGCGACGGCGACGGCGAGAAGGACGAGGACAAGGACGAGAATGACGACGACGGACGACGACTGCGACGATGACAACGCACTGCGAATGCCCTATGGCGGGTGTGTGGCTGCGTAGGCCTTCTGTAGGCGACGACGACGACGACGAGGACGACGGCGACAAACGACGGACGACGACTACGACGACGCTCTCCGGATGCCTTACGGGGGGGGGACAGGTGCTGCGTAGGCCCGCTGGAGTCGACGACGACGACGACGACGGCGACGGCAGAAAAATTGCCCGGGGGGCAGACGATTAAGAAATCAGTTCTGGCGGCTGGATTTTATAAGTCAGCCCAACTCAATGATTTTGAATCCCCTGGGTGGGGTGGGGTGTGTGGGGGGGTATTTTTTCAATCGTTTGCTCCCAGTAGCGGCATCGGCACCTCTTCCTCCTCTTAGTTCACGTGTGCGTGTGTGTGTGTGTGTGTGTGTGTGTGTGTGTGTGTGTGTGTGCGGGTGTATGTGTGTGTGTGTGTGTGCGGGTGTGGGCGGGTGTGTGAGCGTGTGTGCGTATTTGCTGTTCTGGGCCCACGCAGCGGGGTGCAGAAGGGAGACGCGGGATTCGAGCGCGGGGCAAGAGCGCGGGGGCCGGTGCCCTTCCGGGTGCGGGCCGCTCCTTCAGCAGGGTGGCCACCGCGAGCGCTATAGGCGTGGAGCCCCCAGCGGTGCGCTGGGGTCCCCCATCAGGGGCGCCCATCCCTGCCCCCCCCCCCCCCGACCACCGATCTGAGACGAAGCCAAGACAGGGACAGAATCGGACCCGGGCATGGCGGGGTTCCCTGGGATCTGGCGGTCCTGGAGGACGAGCCGGGCGCCGCGGACGTTCCGGAACGCTCGGGAACGTTCCGAGAGCGTTGCGGGGCGCTCTGGAGCGATTCATCCCTGTCCTGGGCCCGCCCGATGATCTCTCGAGGGGGGCAGCGAGGGGGAGCTGGAGGGGGGGAAGGGAGGAGGCGGGAGGCGGCGGGAGGAGGGAGGAAGGCTGGCACAGCAGAAGTCGCCCTCAGAGTGAGGAGTGAGGGGAATGTGGGGGGCGGGGTCTTCCGAGGAGGGAGGAGGAGGAGGCGACGCATTTTGGAGGAGGAATGGGGAGGCGCAGGCAGACGAGGACAAGAGGGAGGAAGAGGAGGAGGAGGATGAAAAAGAGGAGAAGAGGCTTCCCATCGCTGCCCCCCTGATGGACTGCCAGGCGCTGCCGGCCCCGCGTCGAGATCTGTTTTCGCGATGCGGCGAGGGCGGGCTCCCCCTCTCCTCCTGCAACTCCTACCGCTGCTGTTTCTGCTCCTGCCTCTGCTGCTGCTGCTGCTGCTGCTCCAACTCCTCCTGCGTCGAGAGATTCCAAACATCTTGCCTGTGCCTTGGCCTCCCGGCTGGACAGCGGCATCTCCTCTTCTCCTCATTCGCCTCGTCCTCCTCCTCGTCCTCCCCACTCATCCCCTTCCCTCCTACCCCCCCTCCTTCCCAGGGAGCGGGAGCCTTCAGCAGCAAGCCTACCACGAGACAGTAGATTCCTGCTTCCCGTCCCCATACCTTCCCAGGCCACTTCTCGTCCCCTCCCACCCTCCCGATCTGCCTCCCCTACCTCCTTCTCCGAACAGCAACGTCAACCTCCGAGATACTCTAAATAACGAATACGTAGAAATTCACCCTTCAACTCAATCCGAAGAAACACTGCCCCCCGCTCCGCCTCATTTTGCTGCTCCGGCTTTTATTATGATCCGTCTTCTCTTCCTCCCCTCCTCCTCCTGCTCCTGCTCCTCCTCCTTTTCCTTCTCCTCCTCTTCCTCCTCCACCCCACTGGCGACTGTGTACACTTCGACTATGGGTCAACCGATGAGTCAGATCCTTGGGGAACTGGGACACCTGCTCATTTGTCATACGCTAACGATCGCGATCCCTTCACTGGACTGACTTCAAGACACGATCATTGATCAAAGATAACGTGAGGAAATTCTCCTCGGAATCGTTCCTCGAATGTCTCACTGCCGAAATGGGTGCTGCTTTTGCTGTGTTCAAAGATGATGCGCAAGAAATGCTGCCAACTAGAACCTCAGGCACAACATCCCTGGGTATTTGCCGACCGTGCGAAATACTCCCAGCAACGTGCGTCCCATCTTCTTCAACATAGGAATACAATGACCCCATGTGCCTGCAATACGCGCCGTTACCAAAGCAACGGAGCTCTCCCATCATGTGCTAAGCAGTTCGGATGCCTGGCTGTGCTGCGTGCTTCCCGATTGTGTCACCTTCTGCGTTTCGTCACGCCGCATAGCTGAAATATCTGAATCGTGCCACATCAGGTACGAGGTCCGAGGGCCTCCACATGAGACGCGGGCGAATCGATCAGCATGATGTGTATCACTCTGTTCGCGAACGTGAGACCAGACACATCGCGGAGAGGCCGACAAGGTGTGATCACGAAGCGCACAAGACAACACGATGCGAACCTTTCATATGAACACGTCATCATGCCCGCATGTCCACGCAGACAGGGCCAACGCGAGCACAATTGTGCAGTCCCTCAATTGCACAATCTGAAACGAGTGTCGCGCCGGTTCAGGCCAGTGCGAGCAGAACTGTGCAGAGCGCACTGGGAGGGGAACAGAATACTACATAGCAAAATAGCACAGTCCAGCACAAGGTCCACACTTCAATGCTGCTGCGCATACGGGAGTGCGCACTTGATTTTGTACTCTGGGCGAGCGCCTGGACGGAAGGTTTGTCCAAAGAAACCCCGTACGCTGTCCTGGACTGTGCCAACTACTAGCTCTAACTCTGCTGGGAATCAGGCCTGGTTTACGGACGCAGTAGCAGTTAGATTACAACGTGCAGCAATTGATCTGCGTCTTCGGCCACACCCTCATTCGGAAGTCAACGACGGCCCCCGTCGTCTTCTCACTGGAGCTTGGCCTGCAAGAACTCCCACACGGCACATTGCCGCAGGGAGGCACTGCAAGAAGAGATATAGGAAGATAATTACAGAGAGGGAGCAAGACTACGATGCATGACCATCACCGTGATAACCCAAAAACACGAACACGACCCACTGACATGTGTTTGTGATGTTATTTGGGTGCCCCTTGCGTGGTGTTACGGGAACCGTGTGAAATGATGATCGCTCTGGCGACGAGTAGGAGCCGCAGCCCACATTCCCCCCACACAAGACCAAGTTCTAGTTCTGCACTCCAGGGGCTCAGTCTGGACCCGCACGGCGACCAGTGGGACCATGCTCCCTCGTGCTGCCTCGGCTGAACACTCTGCGCAATGACAGTCCAGACGTCAATGGTCACGACTATCATAATCGCCGCTCAGACGAGAACTCCCTCCTCCCTCCTCTTACTACTACCTTCCCCTCGTTCTCCTTCCTCCTCCTCCTCCCCCTCCTGCTCCTCCTGGCATGGCGATCTGGGAACGGAGGCCCCCGTTCAAATTGGCACTCCTTGGAACCAAAGTGTGGACAACGCCGGCTGAGACCATCAAGGCCGCCACTCACGCTCGAACTCGACTCACGGGCCAGACGGCGGCCACCCACCTCGCGGAATGCTCATCTGGATTGCGAAGATGAGGACCACAGCGGGGAGCTCTCCGACAGCACGATGGGGGGGATACGGAGGGTGGAAGAGAGGGGATGGGCTGGCGAGGAGAGGTCGAGGATGATAGATATTCGCCGGCCCAACGGGCCAGAGGCGTGCTAAGATCTCCGGTAACTGGTTAACAATTCTCTAGTTCGCGCGCGCGGGGCGGCCCCTGGGGGTCCCCGGACGAAAAGTACCCCGGGCGACTCCCGGCTGATCCCCAGGCGAAGCCACCAGAGCGCTCCATGAGCGCACCAACAGGGCTCCGAGACGTCCCCGAGAGCCCCAAGAAAGGCCAAGAGGCCCCCAAGAGGCCCCCAAGATGGTACACGAGGGGTCCGACATGCCACAAGATCGCTCCAAGACGCCCAAGATAACCCCCAGACGCCCCAAGAGGCCTCCAAGAGCACTCCCAAGAGGGCCCCCGGAGGCAAAATTCATTGCTTTCCCTTAGGTTTTTGAGAGATTTTGGAGCTTCCACCTTTTCGGCTTCCCGACGCCCCAAGACGGCCCAAGAGGCCCCCAAGATCGCCCCAAGAGGGCCCAAGAGGCCCCCAAGAGGGCCCCAAGATGGCCCAAGAGGGCTCGAAGACGGCCCAAGAAGCCTCCAAGACGGTCCAAGAGGGCCCCAAGAACGCCCCCAAAGGGGCCCCAGAGAGGGAACACGAAACAACATTTCGAGCCCTCGGCCCTAAGAAGCCCCTACGAGGCCCCAAGAGGCCCCTAAGAGGCCCCAAGAGGCCCCCACGAGGCCCTCAGGAGGCCCCCAAGAGTCCCCCAAGCGGCCCCAGGAGGCCCCCCAAATGCCCCCCCGAGCGCCCCAGGAGTCCCCCAAGCGGCCCCAGGAACCCCCAAAGCGCCGCATTGACACCAGGCCCTCGGGCAAACGGCAGACATGAGACTGCATGGGCCGGCGGAATGAGCGAAGCGATTAATAATCACTTCGAGCATTCAAATTTAGGACGAGGAGAGGAGAGAAGGCGGAGGGGAGGGGCGGGTGGAGGGGAGGGTGAAGGGGAGGGAGGGGCAGAGGAGGGGAGAGGAAGCGAAGGGGGGGATCTACATTGCGGCCATCGGGACTGGCAAGACTGCGGTTCAGCTGGACGTCCCGTGGGATGACAATCCAGACAAGCATGGCTTTGACCGCGAAGAGGGAGGCCAAACAAGTGCGCCACTGGCGGTCCGCTGGAAGCCGCCCCGCCTAGATGGACCCCAGAGCCTCCAGAACCCCCATGGAGGAGGCCCTCGGCATGCCTCCAAGCGGCCCTCCCTCCAGAACCTCGCAAGAAACTCCCAGAAATCCTCGAAGAGGCTCCGCAGGAGATCCCGAGCGGCTCCTTGACCACGGCCCAGACACGGTGGCGGATGGCGGAGAGCCCCTAGTTGCCCGCCGCCCCCGTTGCTTGCCACAGGGGTGCCTGGCGAGCCGAGCAACAAGCTGCCACTTGCTCTCGGCCCGTTCCGAACCGCCCCCGCGTCGAGTGGACCAAAATCGGTGGCGAGCCCAGGGGGGAAGTGAGAAGGAGGGGCCCTTTTCAGAAGGCTCGGAAGTCCCGCGGCCTTCTGAGAAGCTCTCTAAGCCTTTCCCGAAGACGCAGAGAACTTCCCAGAAGGCCAGAGCGCTTCTGAGAAGTCCCGCCGCCATCTGAGAAGGCCTTCTCCTTCCCATTTCCCCCCCTCGCTCGCCGCCGACACATATCGAGACAACTCGCCTTCAAGATGGCCGCCACGAGGCCCCGAGGATGGCCTCTCCAGTGTGGCCCAACACGGCCCCAGCGGGCGAGCGAGCGCCGGCACCGCTCCGCACGTGCGCGGGGAGCGCCTCTCCTGAGTCAGTCCACCTTCTTCTGGGCCCATGTTGGAGACCACATGGATGGGGTCCGAGAAGATGGGGTCAGAGGATCGCGCCGCATCGCCAATGCATCGCCGATGCATCGGCGCCATCGGCGTGGAGAAACTCTGGCTCCACATCGAGCCGCATAGTCGATGCGTCGGCGATGCAGAGCGATCCTCCGACCCCATCTACTCCGATCCCTTCTGGGATGCCTAGACATGTGGTCGACTCCTGGCCCCTTGGCAGACTTGTGGATCCCAGAGGCTCCGCTTTTTTTCAGGGCTGTCGTTGGTTACTTCTTGTGCCCACGCATAGTCCCATTCTTACACATGTCAAGCCAATAGTCATACGTAACCAATTTTTGCAAGACGGCCCCAGATAGTTCCAGGTGGCCTCGAAGACGCTTCTGGGACGACCAAGGTGGCCCCAAGATGGCCCCAAGATGACCAACTGGGCTCTCTTGGGGGCAGCTCGGGCCGTCTTGCGGAGCCCTCGGGGTCGCCCGAAGAGGCCCGAACCAATGAACAACTGCAGCTTTGTGTTTTTTGTGTTCTCGCCTTTTGGGTCTTAAGAGCGCTCAAGACTACCCAAACGTCCCCAGAGCTAGCCCACTCCTGTGCAAATGTTCCCCAGGAGGACCCCATGACGGTCTCAGACGGTCCAGAGGCGGCTCAAGAACACCCTGAGACGGCCCCAGGAGGCCCCCGAGAAGGCCCCAAGGCCAGATCAGATACCCAAGACAGCCCCAAGATGGCCCACTGGGCCCCGCTACAAAGCTCCCCTAATGTGTTCTCCAACAACTGGAG